CGGTTCTGTCAGCCAAACTGGACTCCTGTTTTCTGGCTACCAGGAAGGTCCCAAATATCAAAGAAAAGCGGTCCAGCCTTAGAAATTGGCTATGGACATCACTGTGGAGGACAAATAAATATAGAACATCAAGAGATTATTCACTTCGAGCCCAGCTTCTCCAACCTCCCCCACTGTGATTCACAGATCAATTAAAGGCTCGGTAATTTAGTGTGTCAGGGAGCTGCTTGGAGGGAACAGTCCAAGCCTCCCCTGCTGCTCTGGTCCACATCACCCTGATGAGATTTGCTCCTCCCTCGCCGGGTAGATAAGTTACCACCGCTTGTTTCAAGAAAACCAATTAAAAAACCATAAATTGCAATCAACTAGAAAGGTCACTGCACAGGCTGTAACTACAGGCGTTTCTAAGCTGTGAGTGAAGTCTCTGAAACGCATTCTCCCTGCACACCCACGTCCTCCAGCTGAGGTTTTCCTTTCATAAAAGGAGAGAACATCCAGCCAAAGATCAAAAAGGTATTCCTTGGGTTTTTCATTTTGCAACCTGCCATCTTGGGTGAACCTGGAAATCTGAACCTCTGGTAAGACTCTACCTTAGGCCACCCCATCCAGGCTTCAGGTTTGGTTTTTGGCTTGTTTTCATTTTTCTTTATGTAGCAATTATTTCTTCACAATGTATAAAAGCTATATGAGTTCAAAGCAAAATCTTGGAAAACACTGAAAAGCACAACCTAGAAATAATAAATCTCGCCCCTTTTCTGCTTTTGCAGAAAGCAAACACTGCACATTTTAGAATATATTATTCTAGGGTTTTTTCCTAGGCTGTATGTATACATATTTGCTTTTCTCTATAAAAACATGTTTAAAGAGTCATTTAAGAATGCTGTTTTGCAGCCTGCTTGCCCAGCAGTATTTATGTTACTATTTTTCCATGATCCACATGTATATTTTTTTTTTACTTTCCCCCTGTTAAGCATTTTAGATTGTTTCCAGATTTTCACTTATAATGCTGTGGTAAACATTACTGAAATTTTCATATAGTCATGATTACTTCCTTCAGGTACATCCTTGAAGTGGAATTGCTGAGTCCCTGTTCTTTAAAACTGATTCATGTTGCTAAGTTGCCTTCTAGAGAGGTTGACTAGAGTGTTTGTGACCCTGCCCTTGCCAAAAATATTAATACATATTTTTAATCTTGACCAACTGGTTAAATTAAGAAATATGCCATGTTGTTTTGATCTAAATAGTACCTAAACACATTACAAAAGGCTCCTAGAACCTCTCACGAACCTAACCTGGAGTGCATGCCTTCCTACTAGCCTCTGCTAGGGCCTCCTGAGCTCCCTCATCCTCAGGAAGGTGTCAGTGACACTACCAGGGTCCCAGTCCTCCCAAGGTAGATCCAGAGCAGCCCAGGCACTGGTTGGCAAACTGCCTTTTCCAACCGAAACAAAGGATACTTGAGGACAGCCACCCACCTGGGCTGCAGGCCTAAAGGTCATGCACAAATCTGAATGGGAACCTAACATAGCAAGCGAGTGGGCCTCAGAGCAGAGCCAGTTCTCGTTTTTCCCACCAAACTCCAGTGCTCAGCAGCAGAGATAAATCTCCTGAACTCAGTTTTTTGGGATACCAGTTATTCATATGTAGTACCTAACTGCCTGCTCCCTTTGACCATACTTGTACCGTTTAATCCTTGAGACAACACAAGGAAGATGCAAGCACTATTCCAATTTACAAATGGAGATAGTAAGAGTCAGAGAGACTGAACAACGTCTCAGGTCACAAATAGAAGTAGGAGTTAAATCTGGACTTCAGGCCCCAAATCCTGAGTATTTCCAATGTGACCTCTAACCTGTCTGTTCCCTGGCATCTCCCAGCCCGAAGTCTGTCCTCATTCTTACATATATGTGAAAGTTTTAGGACCCAGGATCCAGGAGCCTGGTCAATGGAAGGAGCGGGCTGGGAGAGCAGGGTGCCAGAGTTCTATACAGTGTCCCCACTGCCCACTCTGCCTGCACTCTGGCAACATCAGGCCTCCTGCCAGGAAAAGGGAAGGAGACCTTTCTAACTAACCATCAGGGATGTGGGAGAATGAATTAGATAAAGTCCATTAGGCGAACTTTGACATCCTTTGACATACAAAGTAGTATTAATAATGTTTGAAATGAGATTATTTTGAAAACATTAAGTGGTCATGGAACAAGCGGCATCAAACTCAAAGCGGAGTCAGCCAGTCCCTAAGCAATCTCTTTAGCTCATGCCTGCTCTTCATTTATACGAGAGTAAGCTATTTAACTGGGCTGTTGGGCCTTTGAGCAGAGAGCTCACTCCAAACACATCTATTTTAAGGCTGCTTTATCTAAACTCGACATGAATAACAGATCAAGGTATAAGTGTTCATTCACCTGGTGATTTTAGAATCTTTACCATGTGCAAATCCCTTGCCCGGGCACCAGGTATGAAAGCACGAGGCACAACCACTGGCCCAAAGCCCCCTCTCCCATGGTCCCGTGCAGCTAAATGAGTCTGTAATCAAATAACTATGTAACCCTGAGAGTAGGAACAATAGAACATACATAGCACCTGCTGCGCAGGCTGGGGCGAGCTCAGGAAATGTTTCTCAGGTGGTTTGCTCACGGTGTAGCCAAGGGTGTAAGAGCATGGTCCTCCAGAGTTCCAGGCTTAGTTCTGGGGAGGGATCTGATTACATATGCTTTAGGAGCCAGGCATGGCGGTACAGGTCTGTAATCCCAGAATTTGGGAGGCTGAGACAGGAGGATTGTGATTTCAAGGCTAGCCTGGATCATATACTGAAACCCTGTCTCAAAAAAGCAAGTGTTTTGGGGAACTTATTCCCTAAGTAAGGAATAGAAGTGGAGGAGGAACTGGTTACAGAAGGACTGAGCCTAGGGCCAAACCCACAGAGGATGAGGTAGAGAGGCAGTGGGAGGTGGTAGTAGTTGTTCTGGCAGAAATGGGCAGTTCCTGAATCCAATACACCATGGGAAGCACCAAGGGGGTCATTTAATCATGCAGATTCCCACCTGCAGAGATCCTGATTCCGTGGGTCTGGCTGGTTTCTGGGGACCTGGATGGTTACAAAGCTCCCCCGATGTCACTAATGCTAGAGAAGCTTGGAAAGTGCTGGCCCAATATCCTCCAGCTCGGAGGTCATTGGAGACAAAGTATATGAGCTTTCTGTACTGCACAATCCTCTGCAAATATGAGCGATGTGTCTCCCAGGGTTTCTCCATAAGAGTAATTTTGTCACCCATCACATAATCATTTTTTCTCACAATGCGTAATCAGAGGCAAGTTTGACCTTCAGCCACTAACTCTCCTGCATCTGTTTCCCTGGCCCTCTGGACTTTGCTCAATCAAGGCAAACAAGACAAAACAAAGCAAAAACGTCTGCAGACAGGAGGGGCCATTTTGAAAGGAATAATCCTCCCTCTTTCTCACCACCCTCTTACCTGTTCATAGGTTCGGTAAAAGCCAAATGGCGTTGCTCTAGGTTGAAATGAAACGGTTACTCGCACACTGGACTAGTTCCTCATTCGGTGGCAGTTTATCGCCTCCCAAGGAAACATCCTTGACATGAACCTTACCTGGAAAGCCTGCTCTGGCCGAGAGCTGATTTGCCATGGGCCCTGCTGCCCTCCTGTATGTGCCAAAGCCTGTGAGAGCCAGGCAGATCTCTGATGTGCCGAGAAGTCAACTCGACATAGTGTGTGGGACTTAGGAGAATACAGACTCAGGTATAAATCCTAACCCTGCCTCTGGCCAGCACGGGGGTGGGGGGAGGTGATTTAGAAAGTGAGTACAGCTGCCTCCAGGAAAGATGAAACGGACCAGCGATGGGTAGGAACGAGGCTATGTGTTTGAAACATGACCCTCAATTCAGCTGATGGCAATAGACATAAAAGAGGGACAAAGATAATACCAAGGCCCCAAGCCTGCAGAGAGAATATCATCATTAGGGATAGGAAGTATTAACAGTAACAGCTGACATATTTTTTTAAGCCGCTATTATGTGCTTGACACCACAAACTTAAGAGCTTTTTGTGGATGTCCTCTTAAGGAACCTGTAATGAAGCTAGTACTGTAGTAATATCCTCAATTTAGAGATTTTTAGAGGAAAAACTGAGGCCCAGACTATTCTGCGATTTGTTCAGGTTACATAGCTAATAAGCCACAGAGCCAGTATTTCAACCCAGGTCTTCCAGGCAGCCTACAGAATCCACACTCTTAACCCAGCACTGAGCAGCCCCCTCCAACCCTCCTGCAGAAACAAGCTGGATAAAGAGGGAGTGTGTTTGTTGAGCAGAGCCTCTGAAGCTGCCACGTCCCTTAAAAAGACCAAATTCACCCTTCCACTGATCTGGGTAGATGCCAGTCAGCAGAGATTGGAATTTCTGTTTAAAATAGTTTCTCTAGAAAGATCCATTGTGGGGTGGGAGAAGGCAACTCCAGTTCAGACTCTGGGATGGCCTGGGGAGGTGGTGGCCTCTGGAACATCAGAGAATGAAAGAGAAGACATAAGTGGAAGAAAGTTGTGGGCTAAACCCCTGAACATCCTTATGTTATGTGCGTGGCCAGCCAGGGAGAAAGGAACAGATAAAAAAGGAACCGAATTAGAGCCCCCACCAGTTATTTTGTCTGGATTTCTCCAGCAATCTTCTCTGTTAGGTCACTGCACCCAAAATCGAACAGTCCTGTTAAGCTCTCCTAAAACCCAGCTCAGAATCATCCAGCCAGACATTCTGTCCTAGACAGAGGATTTTGCTCTTATACCCAGATAATATTATCTCTAGATAACATAAACATGCAAAAGAAAAACCTGAGGAACCCAATATCTTGAGATGAGAAGTTGCGCTCCTCTTAGACTCAAAAGAGGCTCAGGCCATAGCCCTCCCCATATGGAAGTCTGTGGGGTCAGGAGGATGTGTCAGTGCCATCCCTTCTAGACCATACCCTTGCCCTGCCCAAACAGCCCTGACCTGCTCTCATGCAAGCTCCTGCCCTGTCGTCCTTCCGTGGATCGGCACACCCCTGTGCCTGCAGGGTAGCATGGTGGGTGGAACCCAGACAGTCTGCGGTGGGAAGAGAAGGGACGGGCTGCAGGCGGGCGATTGAGCCAGCTGTCTCCGTGCTATCGCGTTTCAGCACAGAGCCCTAAGGAGTCTTGGAATTCTAGAACTGAACCTACTGTTCTGGGTGTCACAGAAGTAAATCTATCAGACGGATGGGGAGGAGAGGGGAGGGGAGAGGGAGTGAAAGGAAAGGGTACGTAAAGAGAATTAAGATGTGTTATGTATATGTACCAACTCACCCACAGCAAATGTAATCACTATGTACCGCAAACATGTACTAATAAAAATCAATAAAATTGTATTGGCACCGAAAAAAAGTATATTTATCAAGGATTGAACTTTTTTAATGTACTAGTTCTAAGCTTGATTTTTAGCTTTTAAATATTTACATGTGGCCTATGGCCTTCTGTACTCTCACCTTGGGCACCGCAAGTGTAAGGAGAAAGACTTTTAATGGAAGAAACTTTAAAGTAATTTATCCAAGCCACCCAACCAAGCTGAAGTTTGCACCAAGCATTTAACCACCTTCAGTTACAGTTTGTTGCCAGCCTCACTGATCCCTGGATCACTAATTATTCTGTGTCCACCGTGTTCTCACTGCTAAAAAGTCCTCCTTTATTTTGAGTCAGTCTCCTTATTCCAAAAGCAGCATTTGGTAACAATACTTGAGGGCTTCCTCTGCTGAGTAATGGAGCCTGCAGGTTAATGGGCTTTGACATCAGATGGGCCAGGTCCAAATGCCAACTCTGGCACCTGCTAGATGTGTGAACTTAGCCTAGTTTCTTAATGTCTCTAACCTTTCACTTCCTCACCTGTAAAACTGAAATAATTCCTACTTCAAAAGGTGGTACGAGTAATAAATATCTATGGTAGACATTTTTCATTTTGTATATCTTTAACAGAAGGCCCAGTCTCAGTGATGAGGGGCACAATAGTGCTACTGAAGTGTGGCTGGATCATCACTATTACCTAGGAGCTTTCACAGTTTTTCTCCTGGCAGAAAGAGGTCCACTAGGAAGCAGACATAGGAAGACCTGAGAACCAGCCACTGTGCCCCTGAATCCTGGCTGTGTGACCATAAACCAGTCACACATTCTTTCTGTTCCTCAGTTACTATATCAATAAAATGGAATCGATAATGATCTCTTGCATCCCACAGAGCTCATATTAAGAAGCACCTACCCAAAAGTCATAGTGACTACTCATTCATTCATTCTGTGAACATGCGTGAAAAATCTATTCCCTATCAGGTGCTAAAATACAAAAAGGTACGCCAGCTTCTTCCTCAAGGATCCGTGCTGCAATGGATGAGTCAAAGGGATAATAAAAAGTATAGCACAAAGCACAATAGGTACTGACATGCTGACTTTGGCTCTGCCCTGGAAAGTCACATTGAGAGAGGTAAAGATGGTAGAGGTAACGAGTATTAATACAGTGTCATGGGGGGGTGGAGTCAGATAGTTTTATGGAGCATAAATATAGAGCAAAATTATTCCTTCTTGGGCCAGGGATTTAGCTCAGTGGTTTAGCCACCTGCCTCGCAAGCGCAAGGACCAGAGTTCGATCCCCAGTACCAAAAACAAACAAACAAAACAACTAATCCTTTCAAATGACAGATTTCTCCTCTCACTCTATCGTTGCTCTGTCTTCTCTTAAGCAGGCTGAGCATTTTATGTGTCTATGTCTCACTTGATTGCTGTATATCCCCAAGTCCTCCCTGCATGTGGTCCATTCTCTGTATGTCCCAGTGGCAGAAGATTTTCTGTCTACATGTGTCACCTATGTCGCTATAACCAGTCCTTTAACTATAATGTAATTTAAACCTTATTATACATTTTCCAAAACTCCAAGAGTCTACGAGTTGTACTGCAAATCGGAAAGCTTATCATCCATCTGCATAATTATGTGTGGGCCTTGTCTCAAGGACATGGGAAAAGTATGTGTGTGATAAGAGTGTGGAGGAAGAAACAAGAAAAAGAATGTGTGCATGCTCACACTTCGGTCCTGAGGACTACTGGCTTAATGTGTTAGGGGACAATGAAACCCCAGCTCTAAACAAAGTTGTATTAAATCTCAAGTGATCCTGATGAGATAGGTCTGGGACTTGTATTTCAGTTGTAATTTCATAGCTCGCTTTGGTTTGAAGATCTTAGAATTGACTTTGATGGAAATGGTTGCTTTTCCATGATTGTAAATTAAAAGGAAAAGTAAAATGAACAGAAGGAAAAGTCCCTTAGAAGGAAACAAGAGCCCAGCCACAAGAGTGAGGTTCTACTGCTGTCTTATACAATGTACTGGGGTGCTGGGGATTTAGGCCTGTGGTTCTGCGATCCCCAGTTGCCCCTCACCAAAATGCACTGGGCATCTGGTCAATAGCAGAGCACGACCACATGCTACATAGCTTGTTGGCCCTGGCTACCTGACTTCACACAGGTATTCCACTGCTAAATGCAGGGCGCTATTTGTGTTAATGCAGAACCCGTAAAGCCTCATCCATGAGAGGAAAGAGCCATTTCCTGGAAGGATTACAGGAGAGGACGCCTGCGCCAGTCCCTTACAGCTTCAGTCACAGCGGCCACAGCCAGCATCTCCTAAGGCCACAGGAGGGCACTGTTTGGCAGCACCTGCCGAGGGCCCCAGCTGCTCTTTTCCTCACACTCTTGTCCACCTTCTGTTTCTGCTCAGCATAATGGCAGCACTGTAGCTGCCTGTTCAACCCTCAGCTCGGGGCTCTGTCTTTGCTGTGAAAATCAGGGAGTTAAACAGGAAAAGATACATGGTTCCTACTGCTTCCAAGGGCTGATCGACCTTTCAGCCCAGCTGAGATTCGGGGCTTGCTTACCTTTTGGGGAGAACGACGAGGAATAAAGAGACAGAATTTGCAACTAGAGAGAAAGAGTGCATAAGAATTAATGAGGAACCAGATTTTCTCAACACCCAAATACCTGTATGTTGTCAACTGACCTCAGCAGATACTGTCCTGCCTCAGGAGTACCTGGTTATCTGCATTCTGCCCATAGCCAGGGGCCACGCAGCCTTCTGCATACTTCCCTGTTCCCACAGCAAGGTAATGCTGACCTCAAGACTGTGAGATCTGAGTTATGCAGCCTGTGGCCTCATTCCCAACATACTGCCAAAGAATTAGCACTTTGGGCAGCAGTTTTCACACTTTATTTTCCAAAGGGACACTTGAAATGAAAGTGATTATTCTGGTTTATGTCAGTTGTCTCAGCATAATTAATGGTACCCTCGCTTATTCTTTTCTTACTTTTTTTTTTTTCCCATACCAGGGATCAAACTCAGGACCTTATGCTTGCAAAGCAGGTGGCAGCACCAGAGCTAAATCCCTGGCCCTACCCTCATTTACTCAAAAGTGTCCTAGTTTAGGCAATAAACTTAAAAATCACCCTACTTAAAATGTAAATTACCAGGTTGCACCCGCAGAGGTCTAGAGTTCCCTGGAACCTGGATTTCAAACAAGCACAGTGGGCATTTCTGTTGCAGGTACTAGACAGGCGCACTTTGAAGAATCCTGATAGTGAGGTAAAAATAGATAAACCAAAATTCATAATAATAGTAATTATATAAACAGTAATCTTTTTCTTTCTGAAAGATTTATATAGCACTTTTACACATGTACATTTGAATTAACAAATATGAGAAACCACAATGTATGGAGTCCTTTGCCCTATGCTTTGGGAGATATGAAGATAAATAAGACATGTTCGTCAGACTTCCATTACTATAATGAAGTACCTGAGGTAATCAAGTTAAGAAGCAGAAAGGTTTACATTGGCTCACAGTTTCAGAGACTTCAGTCCATGGTTGATTAGCCCAGTTACCTTTGAACCTGTGGCAAGTAAGTGCATCATGGTGGGGAGTACTTGGTAGAGCAAACTGTTCGCTTCATGGTGGGCAGGAAGAAAAGACAGAGGAAGAGAAAGGACTGGGTTTTCTAATAGCCCCTTCAAGAGCATGCCTGCAGTGATCTAACTTCCTTCTACTAAGCCCTACTCTTCAAGTTCTCAGTACCCCCCAGTTACACTAAGCTAGAGATTCCATGTGCATCTGGGGGCACTTAAGGTCCCAAAGCAGAAAGGGCCCTGAAGCAGCGGAGGTTCTGTCTGGTGAAGAATTCAGACAGATGTGACGTGAGAATGAACTCTAGGTAAAACAGAAATGCTAATGGGAGGGGCGCTTCTGTAAGGATGCAACAGTGAACAGTAGTGAGGGCCTTATTACAAGGAACGGGAATCCGAAGAGGCGGAGTGACTTCATCCAAAGTTCCACGGAATCGTGAATCTAACCTGTATCTCCCAACTCCAAGTCTGGGCACCTTCCCCACGTACTTGTGACGGAAATGTGTGACCACAGCTCCAGAGTGCAACGACCCGGAGAAATGTGCCCTTGATGACCACTTGGTAAGGTGGTAAGAAGAGGATATTGGAAAGGACTATCAGAGTGACTAGAGTTACTGAAAAACAAAGAGAAATTAATCTGAAGAGGATTCATGGGATAAAAAGGAATTTATAAAACTTTACTATAAAACATTACAGAATGAGTTCAAATGTGAGGAAAACAAAATCACTTTTTTTCCACCATTAACATCCATCTGTCGATTTTACATGAATTTACATTCCACTTTGTCCACTTAAACGTTTTTTTGTATTATGATAAAATCCTTGTAACTGCCGGGTGTGGTGTCACACGCCTGTAATCCCAGCACTCAGGAGGCTGAGGCAGGAGGATCGCTTGTGAGTTCAAGACCAGCCTGGACTACATAGTGAGTTCCAGGTCAGTCTCAACTACATAGTGAGACCCGGTCTCAAAAGACAAACAAACAAACAAAAATCCATGTAACTATATAACTTAAGTATACAACATGCTACTGAGTTCCTGTTTTGAGTAAACAAATAATTTTGCTATCATTACATATATTGCTTATTTCCAACTCTTACCATATTATAAATATTATAATGAAGCTTTTCTTTGATTCTAACCTTTTTCTTATTTTGGATAATTTCCTCGATAAATTTCCAGAAATAAGAATATTGGATCAAATAGTATGAA